ACGGTTCTGTGCTGATATTGGCCGACCGGCTCAACACGTTGTACTTTCGGATCGCGTACTGCGGCGAATTAACAGCAGTTAACAAAACATCAAGTCAAAACGAGATAATTTCATTTGTCTGAATAAACGTCAAGATTTCTACGTAATTGGTGTTTCCGCTGTATAAAAACCATGCATTTATACCATGCAAACATTTAGAACCTGTTGTGAGCCTATTTTTCTTTCACTCATTTCTCCTCGAGCAAGGAAATCAGGGTGAAATAATCAACTATAAACTAGGCAACTAAAAACTGAACTTTTGCAAACTTACCTCCTTATCAAAATTCGCTTCCCTACTATTGAATCATGATGGTTACTTATTCGAAAATTTATGTTAACGCAAGTTTAGTAAGAACGAAGCCTAGAACTAGCTATTTGACGAGCTATATATAGCTTCGTCTCTATGCCACGATCGGAGACATTGTTGACCTTCATTCGCACATAAACACTTTTGCTTTGTATAGAAATGGATATGCATAATGTCAAGTTCACTAAAAAGTCTATTCAAGAACAAGCAGCTATGATCGAGTTTCGATGAATTTTGGCATTATATGTAAATTGATGTGCTGGTGTGCTCGTGAAGCGTCAGCCAAGATATAAAATCTATTTAGCCTTCGTTTTGGGCAACCGCATTCGTCAGAGCTTCAAAAAACCAGAAATAATCGAAAATCATCAATGTCAAACACTTCTTCAGATTCACTTGAGTTCAATTATAACTTAGGAGTATTTAGAGTATTTTTGCAAGCTACAACTGGAAGTGAAGAAAACCTACGCGGCACCTCTCTAAATCCTCTCGAGTGAAGGAGCTTTAGATTTCCTTTCATCTTTATGTTTTTTTCAGCTAAACTCCATTTCAGATCTACGTTACCTCAATCCATTAAAAGTTCTCGAAAATCATAAATTGGGTCCTCTGTTTTTGTTTTCTCTATTCGCTACTTTTATGTATTTATGACGTTGTATACACTGGTATAGTTATCAAGAAAAAATGATGTTATGTGCACTGATTTTCAGCATCCCTCTAAATGCTTATCATCTATTGGATTGAAACTATTTTGAACGAAATAAAAATGGTTTCAGTAATAAGGTGTCCATTGCGTGTTTAAGTACCATCCATTGCTAGGTTTGCATTTCATTGTTTTTAAGTAAGACGTGTGGAATTAATTGTTCAAGCCACTTCACTCCGAGGAAGGTTTCATACTACAATTTCAGTCCAAACACAGCCTGTTACTGTACAATTGCTTGTTGTGCAGATGAATACAATTAGAAAATATGAACGATTCCGTGACAAAACAGCGTTTTCCACTATTCCAGCCCATTTGTTACTCTACATGCATCCTAAGGAAAAAAAATAAGGCTAGGGCGATTATGCCTAGCTCTCTCACTCTTCTGAGCGCTCCTTTATTCATTCGTGAACAGTAGCACTGGAGTGTCGATCGCAAATCTATTTCAAAAGTAATCTAACGAGAGAAAAAATGGATTGCATCGGGGTATCTCGGTGATTCCTTTTCTCTGCAATGTTTTCTTGTTCCTATGTTAAGTAGAGCCCCGGAGCTTAACACTTCATTGACTTCTCATTATTTTTCGAAAAAAATTAAAAATTTTAAGAATTGGAAAGTATGAAGCTTGTGCTTTTTCTCAAAAAAAAANAAAAAAAAATACTCCGCTATCTGAAAAGAAACTCAGACGCTTAAACACTTACAGGATGTATTCTGGAATTCTACCTGAATTTTACCAATTTTATTATATTGTTATACCCACTATAAGTTTGGTTGGAAACTCGGCAATCGTGTATGTAACAATACGTTCAAGGTTAGTTGATGGGTAATCGTTCTAGGCAAGTTACAGTAGCTTTGTCTAACCTCGTTGAATTGTCTTATTAACGGTTTTAATTTTATTTTTCCAAGATCTTTGAGAAGTCCATGCAATATAATGATTGGGTTGATATCTTTGGGTGACGTCTTGCATATGCTATCACATTATGTTGCCGTTTTATCCTATAATTGGTATGTCTTATTGTTTTCAGTGCTTTATATGTTTTATATATATGTATGTATTTTTTTAGTTTTTCGTGTTTTAGTATTTTAATTTTATCTATTATTAATACAGATTGACAAAAATACATGGAGGAAAACTTGACGTTGAGGGCTACATCAATACAAATACAAGATGATCTGAAAAAAGCTCTGAAATATGAAGCTTAGCAGTTTTTAGCTATAATGATCTACACTTTAAACAGTTCATAAGATATTACTAAAGGAATGCAACACATGAATGTAGAACAAATCAACCCAAGACACAAACCTGGAATGTAGTGGAGTATCGACAAAATCAGCGAAGTTTTTAAAAAAGGGTGTACAGTATATCATATGAAATCAAAGAACTTCGAACTTTCACTTCTGCATTTCCAAAGAGTTCAGAGATTTCCCTATTTTTCCCAATCTCAGGGGAGTCCCAGATATCACACTAATTAATATTGGCAATGTTCTTTCTCTTCAGGACCGAAAATCATCTGATGAGGCAGGACTTCTGTGTTTATTGGCAGATGGTTCCAACAATTGGCGCATTGTTCTCTTCTACATTGCTTCTCAGTGTTGCTATCGATCGAATGATATCCACACGGTTATACTAGTACGAAATTTGATTTTTGTAAATTGTACTACAGAATGGTAGGGAACAGATTTCGAGTAAAACAGCTCGATAGAATTTTCCCAGAATTTGACGTTTTTAGCGACTCTCTGATCAAAAGTTATTATGTTCTTTACATTTCCCTCCACATCACTATTGGATTAGTTTTCGCTCTTAGTATGGAGACATGGATATTTTTCAACCGCACATCAGAGTTGTAAGTTTGAAACACTTCAAAAATCACTTCATTAAACATTTTTGAATGTGTGCAGTTTGTCAGGCTTGAGAATATGTAGAGTTTGCCAGGCTTAGATAGGAGCGAGGGAAATTTTTAAAGTATCAAATAAAAATAGACCGAGTGGACCACAAAAGTTCTATGTTCCTGATTAGAAGTAACGAATATGTGTGGCTTTTGTGTTACATGGCACACCCTAGGGTGAATTGAATAAATAAATAAGTAAATAAGTATAGAGCAGAATTAAAAAAGATTTGCGCAAACAAAATCAATTCGATGCGTAGGTGTCCTTGTAAAGCTTCACCTCAACCGAGATTTTATAACTTTTCATTTAGCTTAAGTTTGGGCGCCCTGTCGCCCTCATTAGAGCCTGGAATCCAAAAATGTTTGAGATTCGTACTTGTCAAACGCACTCCAGGCTTCAGAACTCAAGTATAACATATAAATATCAGAACGGTCTCGTGCGTTACACCTGGGAGCCCAAATGGGTTTAGAAAAAAAGACTTGTGCAACACCTGTTTCTTTTCTTCTCCAATTTGAAATTCCTCGGTTCTCGGTTCTTTGTATTGTTGAAGATTCATGCAAAATTACAGATACGAGGTATGTATAATTACGACACCGATTTTTGGTACGGTTCATACAGTCCTTTCCGAAGTCAAGGTAGCATATAACATATTAATACTCCTATGCCATGTAGTATTGTTATTTTGGCTGAGAAAAAGCCGACTAGGTGAGTTTTGATCTAAATTTCGCTAAATGCATTTTTAAGGGTTGATTTGCGATCTCCACTGAGCTTAGTACTACAGAACATTCGAAAAACTTTTTTCTGCTTTTGACTCAACACGAATTCCCCGAGAGTCATCACAGTCAGTTACCCATCTAATCGATCACATCAATCAAACGAAACTTCTAGGCCAGGACAGTTCCAAACAAATCCATCGCTCAGTCGCCGTCATAAGCTTCATGACAGTATTCGGTTGGTTCGGTGCCGTGATGTTTACTGTGCTCGGCGTTGCCTTCAACTTACCCATTGAAAAGTTGCATGCCGACTTGATTGCCGGTCTTCTTGTAAACTTTGGGTCTGCGGCAAATTTCTTCGTCTACTATTTTATCAGGTTCGTAATAGATTTTGTTTATTACTTCGGTTCAATTTGCTCGATTACTTCCACACCTAGCACCTGACTGTTTCATGTCACCTCATTTATGCTATCAAAAACCGCAAGGAAGTATGGGTAAAATGTCCTGCGAAAAGTTGATTATTGAAAGTGAGGAAATCATGTAAAAGTGGTCAAGCCAGCCAGTACAGTTGCCTAGGAAAAGTAGAACTTACTTGCAAACTATTTTCTTCTTCTACCCAGAATCTCATAATCAATCCCTTGCAATTTTTAGTGGAATGTATCGCAGTGCATTCGACGACTACCTCTTCATTGGATTCCTCAAGAAAAAAGTGAACCTCAAGCGCCTTACCACCAACCATGGATGGGCTGAAGCTCGCCGCCGATTTTGACACATTTGGAAAGAATGAATTTCCGGAAAGTTGTAGTTCACTCACACATCCTTGCTGGGTTGCTTCCTCTCCCTACCCACTCTGTATTAACTTTTTTGTATTTGGATATGTGCTTCAATCATAAGGGAGATCTCTCCTATGATAATAATACAACCTGTTGAAAGCTTTGCTATTCTATAATCCAATATCTGCAGGTAACGGGTAGGGAGAGGAAAAATAAGGAGCCAAGGGGTATAAGTTTTGATTCTTCGAAAACCTACTTCCCTTTGCGTTCTTGTTTTGTTTCTTCGATATCATAACTTAAAGGAGTTCACGATAAAACTGGTATTGCTTGAGAAAATAACTGAAAGCAACATAGTAAATTATTGTAAAAACAAACAAAACATTACAACACCATAAGCAAAGATTAACTACACAAAATTCTCATAGGCAGAGCCTTTTACAATTACAACACATTGTAAAGGCTTTGCGGCGCGTTTGCCCCTTTTTGGGTTTCCGTCTCGGATCCCCCTTTTCAGATGTCTAGGGACAAGGTCCCTTCTTTATGGATTGGTAGAGAATAGTGATCATACTTTATCCTTCTTCGGTAAGTAGCAGCCAGGAGTGGGCGATTGATCAGCAGGATCCTCTAACAGAAAAGATGGATCCAAAAAAGTCATTCTAGAAGATGTGATCAGTATTTATCTGTGACCCTGAGAAAGTGGAGATTACAGAGATAGGCCGATTACAAAAGAGTAAAAGATCCTTATAAACACAGATCAAAAGAGGGCTCTGGTCGGCATCTTCGCGCGCGGGAAATCTATTTTGGTAGTTGCGAAATTTGAGTTGTGGGAAACAAGAGGTAATAGGCAGATATGCAATAGATAGTATAACAAAGCGAATAATGATACAGAACATTAGAAGTATGTTTATAACTTAACATTGTGGTTATATTCTAAAATATTTACAGCATACGGCAACTCGTTTACATTTAATCTCATGCCATTTCCGCGTCAAATTTTGTAAAAAACCGCTGGTTCGCGTGCTCACTTCGCCACTGTTACCTTATTCTGCACAATCACTCCCATTATTCAATCATCAGTAGTCACATTACAAGTGACACTTTGGTTCTGAAAATCGCCCTCGGAGGCATGACTCAGTATGTATTCAAGTCAGATATTTCGGAGGGTTATTAGACAGAAAGACAGGCGACAGACAGCCAGACGGATATGCGTTCTCTTTGGCATGATGCTATTGATCAGTAGATAAAGTTCAACTTGAATACGGGTACTGATCACAAATACTAGTACTGAATACCTCATTTGCTTTTCCATTGACTCCCCACTTGCTTCGCAAGTATTAGGTTCTTTATCTTTACACCACCGAAATCCTAGTTTCTTCACACAATAAAGTGAATAAGACAGAATCATATTTCAAGTAAAATTGCAATTCTATGTCCTAGTGACACGGTTTACGCTTGAGCAGAACCGCTCCAACGAGGCAATAGTTACAATGCGTTATTGCAATCCTGAAATAACATATCACATCAGATATCTCGAACAAGTCAACAACGCTTACCGTTCTTCAATGAGCAATCAGCTCGATGATGTTGGTTTTTTTTTCAGGGCTTGAAAGCTATGACTTCACGGCTGGTCTCCTCAGTGTAAGATCTGAAGGACGCGGCACCTGAAAATTGCGAAACGGTTTAGGGTTCCGTCCAAGCATTGCCCTTAAATCACCAAGCTTGTGAGATTTTCGGATCGGATTACTGAACCGAAATAACAGCCGACAACGTTTTAAGTCAGATTCCCCGCACTCTGCAATGTTTCTTGATCCTTCAGCGCTTATTACAGTTTTGGTAAAAAAAGACAGTTTGCTTCAATCAGCAGTCCAGGTAATAACTGTTCCCGATAATTGTACATATTTATGTAGACGCCTGACAGCATGACATTGCATTACGCCATTGTTTCTATCGGAATAGTGTGAAGTGTTGACTTGGCTGCAGGTAATCTTCATGTTACGACATCGGAACTCGCTGTGTCGGCTTGGAAAATTGAGCAAGCTGTTGCAGTAGCAAAGAGTACAATGCTAACCACTCTCTTATCAATCCTTCTCTGGTCATAGAAATCATGCTTGAGTTCAGTAGCGATTTTCGTTACGTTGAAAGGAACGGAAAATCTTCAGAATACTCGCCTGAAATGCCGTTATAAGGTTTCTGATAATCACTATGCTCCATATGTGATGAATGACGCTTTTGCTTTGCAGTTCTTCTCTTCTAAACATGTGTTTTTAGGACACTCTTTCACTTCGTTAGTACTAATGTAAGAAAGAATGAATGAAAAATGAACCCATTCTCTATCTCATTATCTCTCTTTGCATTATAATCCCATCTCTGAATTTGAAAGTGCTTAACTTCACCATCATATTTTATATTACATCTAATATTTTGCTAAGCAGTGCTCTGTTAATGACTGTTGTTGAAAAATTGGATCCAGTGCTCTCGCTGAAAGTGTGCGAGTTTCCTTTCAGGATGTTCCCAGATATTCTACCAGTGTTTTACCAAGTTTTTTACATAGTCGTACCGACTATCAGCCTCATTGGGAATGCATTTATTGTGTACGTAACGGTGCGTTCAAGGTCAGTGAGCATATTTTCTTCTGAAGAAGTTCTTTATAGTTGTCGCCCTTTCTCTGCAGAATTCTGGCTGGTATACATGATACGTTTCCGTGTTTATTTTTCATTTCGAATTCGATCCTCATTTTCAAGATCACTAAGAAGCCCGTGCAACATACTGATTGGCTTTATATCCTTCAGTGAACTTTTGCATATGCTCGGGCACTATGTTATGGTTGGATCCCACAATATGTGAGTTAAGGTTACTTCATATTCAAATGTATATAATAGAAGACGGTGTTTCAATTCACATCTTTGCAAGCTACCTGATTAGCATACTCACCTACACCTGACTTTCCCTCCCTCTCTTGACCCCTGGAAACGTCTTTTCTAAGGTCAATAATTCATAGGGTTGCGTTGGATCCGGGCTGGCTATTGTCCTAAAATTCCATAGATAAGAGCGGTTGAAACTACCGGTGAAAAATGAATTGGAATGAAATTGAAATTGAATGCAGTCACCCTCTANTAGAGGGTGACTGCATTCAATTTCAATTTCATTCCAATTCATTTTTCACCGGTAGTTTCAACCGCTCTTATCTATGGAATTTTAGGGTAGGCTCGCCTTATGTATAACAAGAATCTAAAAATTGGAGCATCAACTGTCCAATATATGAAAGTCGTCACCATTACTTCATAGTAGCGAATCTATTTTCAGAATTGACAACCATCTGATGAGGCAGGACCTATGTGTTTATTGGCAACTGCTTCCAACATTTGGCATGTTGTTCTCTTCTATTTTGCTAGTCAATGTTGCCATCGATCGACTTCTATCTACGCAGAAATTCTAGTACTGACTTCGAAAATTTTTTCAAACTCCTGCCAAAGAGAATAAACCACATGGGAACTAAAATAAAACCACACTTATAAGAATTTTTCTGTGGTTGGCACCCAAAAATCATCAAGTAGGTGATATTGTGAGATTGAATGCTTCAGGTTGCGCAGGAACGAGGATTCGGGACGGGAACACAGTCTCTAACTATATTGACCTGGAGAGGAATAGAATCCAGTAAAAGCAGAAAGTACACGGCAGCTTTACATTATTTGAAGCTATCCTAATCCTATCACATAAGGGGCGTATGGCAGAGGCTCTCCTCGACAAGGACGTCGGGTGACCCGCAGTTTTCGTTCTCCACCGGTTGCAAGTTCACCTGTTTCATGCAGCAAACATACACATAGTCGGCTTCAAATATTTAGATATTAAAAGAACTTCAAATATTGAGTTGTCCGAAAAGTTCATGCCGATTTTGAACACCCTTGGTTTATCAAGTGCTTTGAAAAAGATCGTAACCTCATAAAGTCATATCTTTTCTTGAAGTGTAAGCCTACATCTTTCTTAGGCTATGTTGATATTTTTTAAAGTTTCTAAAGGACTTGGGTGAAAATGGAGGCATTTTCGCCATCTAATGCTTTTCTTCTATCGCAAAGGAAAGAATGCAGCTCAAACCGCGAGAAAGATCTGTGGTGTTTA